GGTATCGACATTTGCCGGGACCTTGGGTGTGTCTGCTGCCTTTCAGCCGTTTGCCTCTTGAGGGGTACGCGCCCTGAGGGCTTGACAGAGGCTACTCGAAAATTGAGCGCCAACAACTACTTGTGATAATTCCATGGGCGTTTACACTAGCAGGCACTCGGGGTCCCTGAAAGGAGGCACCAGTTGATGGTGCGCTGACTGCAAGCTGGTGGTGGATTTCTCGGGGTTCCAGGTCGTGCACTTGTGGCAGACTGTGCTCCTTCAAGGTAGGCAGAGGGACCAATTTTCAAACTACCCCGCAGTTCTCAATCTAAGACGAGATGGGTTTCTGGCTTGAACCTTGCATCCAACAACTTGACAACCTCTCTTCACCGACTGAAGCTACGTCACGGCCGAGGCTTCGCTAACTCGAATTCAGGTAACCCGAACAGTTGGCTGGGACCCGAGAGCAGCTTGCGCCACTACGAGTATTGCTGAGGATGAGGGCTCGGGATCCTCCGGGGTAACACGAGTACATCCCAACTTAGTGGGTGGGCATCAGCATCAAAGATGACTATGACTATGACTATGCTTATGACTCATGCTTGCTGCTGCTGCTGCTGCAGCTGCATGCTTAATTGTAACTAGTGCTATCGCGACCAGCACAACTACCTGTTCAAGTCCTTTCGGCGCAGCAAGTCCAAGTGACGTTCAAGCAGTGATACTTTAAGTGGACCCTCCACCCTGTAATAGTGACTAAGGGATAATAAGGAGTATATTAGAATCCTATCATATTCTTATTCTGCCACTATTACAGGGTGGGGGGTCCTCCTAAGTGATACTCTTGTAGTTCATATGTCCAGGAGATGCTGAGCTTACAACCTTTCCACACCCCAAATCTTCAAGTGGTGAAATGGTGATGAGGATGGACAGAGTAGTTTCCATTTTCTTGTCCATTTCTCTATTACCCATATAACCGTATATAACCCTATGTTATCCAAATATTAACTAGTCCCCCCCTACCCCTCCCTGGCAGGGAATATGTCTAAAACTCCGACATGACGGTTCTGAGGTTCAAGGTAGGATCTGTGATGACAACGGAGAACTTTGCCTTTGCCAGCGAGACGGCGCGGCCGCATCGTTTGGGGGTTTCCAGTTAAACAAGTCGTGAAGGTGGACTGTTGTCGGTTTTTTGTTTCTTTTTCAGCGTCTGTGGTGGTGGTGGTGGTGGTGGTGGTGGTGGCGGCGGCGGCGGCGGTGGTGGTGGTGGTGGTGACGACGACGACGGCGAAGACTGTGACCGTAACACTTAATTTCTGTGTTTCACCAACAATTGGTGCTACCTGTACTACACTTAGTAACTTAGTAACTGATGAACAGAACAATCGTCCTGCCAATCATAGGAAGGGCCGCTGCAACATTGATCGACAGACAAGGTGCTGCAACTCAGCAAACCTAGTTAGTCTAGAGGAATGGGGGAAGGGAAGCTACTATAGTATATTGCGGTTATATAGGGATAGTGGAAAAGAACATGGAAACTACTATGGGCTATATAGGCTTATAGCCGATGCAGCGCCTAAAGCTACCTAAGCGAAGGGAGCGCTGAAAGGGGAAGTGTTCCACTTCCTCGCGTGTGTTCCGGGATTGTTTCGGCATCGCGGTCTGGCGGAAACAAGGCGTAATCCTGTTTAGCTTAATGCGAGCTATAGTCTAAACTCCTTGAAGGCGGTTATATAGGGGATTCTATAAGGGACTATGGGGGTCATTCAGGGGGATACTAGGAGTTTAGATTATGGCTCAAATAGAGTAAAGTGCCAGGGACAGAACACTGGCCTCGCGAGCATCAAGTATGTGGGACATCCGGGTTCAGCCAGGGACTTGGTCTCACAAGTGCAATGACTGTGTTGCTGTTCAGGAACTCAAACTAAGTTACTGAATACAGGGGTTATGTAGGGATAGTGGAAAACCTACGATGGAAACTACTATTGAGGGGTTAGGGTTTAGGGTTGCTGTTGAGGAACAGAAACTAAGTTACCATCACGGGAAAACATAGTAATCAATATGTATATACATATTAATATGGTTCCCCCCCATTAGAGTAACTGGAATGAAGCTCCTTAACAGCGACCCAGATGATGATGTCAGCAGCTGAAGACACGTGTATCAGCCGACGCAATGTGGCTGCACCCTTGCAGATCTGAGTTCAGCATGGGCAGAAATCGACATTTCCCATGCTCCTGAGACAAGTTTCTAAAGATCGCTGTTCATGGCCCCTGGCCTTACTTTTTCAGACAACTGCCAAGAAATAGCTGTCTGTGTCAGCTATTTCTACTCAGGTCACCTTTTTTGGAGGCATCATGAGCGCAGGCAGGGCTGACAGAACAAGGTTGGATTGTAAGGGCCTGAAGATGCACCCTTATTCCAGCCCAAGCATAGTCCGATTTTGGTCGACCATACGGCAGACGCATGACAGACCTAGTTGTTTCAACAGGCTTCGCTCAAGTCTTGAACCGCCCCCCCATTCCTCATCGCACATCCGTTGCAGCTTTGCTTTTCGTGACCTTCTGGTGGTTGCTATCGGTATGTTACTTCGGGTACCATAACCTGTGGTGCTTGCTCAAGATGGCCTCCCTGGGATCGAGGCATGATGCCAAACCCCTTCGAGAGCAACATGTATTCCGGCAAGGCGGGCCTCAGGATTCGTAGGGTTGAGGCTTGTAAGGGTTGCTGAGGCTTACTGGATATGAGGTCTTTAGTGTTTAGTGTTTTTTTTAATGTAGGGGTTGTAGGATTTAGGGCTTTGTAGGACTTGCAGGATTTGCAGGCTTCACAGGGTTTATGGGGTCTGTCATTGAACTTGCACCTTTTAACGCCCAAAGGCTTTAAAGGGGTCGTCGTGCTCAGGATGTTACTCATGGGAGGACCCATTTTTTGGGACGCGCCCTAAACCCTGATCCCTAAACCCTAGCCATTTCAGTGGTCGTTTCACGGATGGGGCCGGGTGTAGCCCCATTAAGGCAGACGCCAAGCCTGAGAACACCTGAAGCCGTTGGACCTAGAATTTAGTAGCTTCCATTTTCTTCTCCACCATCTCTAGATAGCTCCTAAATAACCCTAAATTGTAGCTTCCATTTTCTTTTCCACTGTTTCTAGATAACCCCTAAGTAACCCTAGATGGTAGCTTCCATTTTCCCTATATATCCCCTACATAATATAGTCGTTTCCATGATATTTCCCATTTTCTTTTCCATTATCCCTAAAAAATCCCTACAAAGCCAAAGTGTTCACAAAATGCCCTGGGCCTGAGCCGCAGAGGCACTGATAAACGTCATGTCCTACGACCGTGAGCTCTTGTTTGGCTGGGGCCTTGCAAGCGTGATTTAGGGGTTTAGGGGTTCAAGGGTTTAGGGTTTAGGTCTTTAGGGTTTGGGATTTAGAGTTTAGGGGGTTAGGGGTCTAGGGTTTAGGGATCCAAAAAATAGAACCTCCCCAATATGAACCCGCTACTTCATGGGGAACCTAGGGGACTATTACGGGGTTCCATTTTTGGGATCCTCTAGGGGGTCTGGGTAGAAGAGTAGAGCATAAACTATCAACAGACACGATGAAGGTAACCCTATGTTTGGTTCTATTCCATTCGAAGGGGGATGGGTCATTTCAAGGCATGGCCCTCCCCGCTTTTTACTTGTAGCCTCCGTTTTCTTTCCCATTATCGCTACAGAGGCCCTAAATACCTTAAATTAGCTTCCATCTTTTCCATTATCCCTATATAACCTCTAAATAATATTAGATAGTAGCTTCAATTTTCTTTTCCATGATCCCTTTATATAACCCCTAAATAACCCTTAGTCGTAGTTTCCATTTTGTTTTCCATGATCCCTATATAACTTCCATATTATCCCTATATAACCCTTATTTACTATAGTAGTTTCCATTTTCTTTTCCATTATCCCTATATACTCTCTATTTTGTCTGAGTTGCAGCTGTCTGCCTTGCATGGAGATCTCTTAGAATTGAGTCGTTTGCTCCCGCTAGCCTAAGGAGTTTTGAGCGAGACCCAGCCATTTTTTTGTAACAGGCTCGCAAAAATGGGTATTTGCTGTAGCATCCCCCAAAAAGTGTTGGGCCTGATTTTCGCTAAACCTTTAACCCTAAAGCCTAAGTAGTAGTTTCCATTTTCTTTTTCCGTTATCCCACTTGTAGATTCCCAATATAACCCCTACATCATACCCAAATAACCCCTATATAACCCCCATATAGTCCCTACATGATCCCTTTATAATCCCTGAGGTGTTGGGGCTGCGCAGAAGAGCCTGATGAAACACTACAGTCGCCAGCTTGGCTCTGTTTGCAGGTTCCTGGCCGGACTGCTATTAAGGTAGAGCGGTACATACCCCTATAGTCCCCCCTAAGCAGATAGAATATGGGGTATATGGGGATCCCAAACTACATTCTATCTACTAAAGGGGGACTATGAACCCTAAACCCCAAAGCCAGCTTCAGATGTAAGGCCATGACTTGGATTAAGTTGGGATAGTGCCTGATAGGGGCTTTGTAGTGCCAAGGGCTGCTGTCACTGAGAAAATTGTGTTTTGTCATTGTGTGCTGGCACAAGTGTCTTCGGGCCATGCGTGATCTCGATGCCGAGAACGACTGTATCCTCCAAAGACTGACTTTCATTAATCTTAAGAAGCTCATCCGGTTCACCAGATTTAGATCTCGTCCTTATTGAATTTTGGGCTTCATCTTCTAATCCCACCATCCACTGCATGGTACGTAGCAATGTTGTACGGTGCACTATCATTCGCAAAAGGCTGGAAAAATCAGTGGCAAGGGAAAACACTCTGCATGTTGCTGCGGCATTCGTTGAGGTTACGACATCGAGCAGCCCCTAACCTTTCAGCAGCAGGCGCCTCGTTGTCTTCTACCCTGGGGTTCGCATGCAATCGACTGCTTTAGTTCAGAGATTCTTGCCCAACCTCATGATCAACTATGATGATTCGGCTGCTGCATGATGCCAGATGGACACCGAGTGCCAGAAGGAACGCTATTCCCTCACACTGGTCAATGGTCCAAGTGACAAGCAGGCCCGCTGGTTTTCAACAACAGGCCTTTGATTCAAGGGCGGCTGGCCGCGTACATTGGGGACTTGGTCTCCGGAAAGCACAGCATCACGACAGCTTAACAGGACGCTGACCAGCGTTCCATTTTCAGATTCGTATGCATGTCCGCATGTCCAGGCAGCCAAAGATTACATCGCGAATGTGGACGTGAACAACGACAACACCATTTCACAGTGCCTCCCTGACAGGGCAACGAGCAGTCGTAGGATGCTGCTACTGGCACCTTGGTAGGCAGCAGGGGGAGCACAGAATCTCTTGGCCTCAGGTATCTTACCTTCAGCGGCAACAACAAGAACAATCTCATGACAATCAAGTTGGCTGGTGTGATTGCCTCAAGTGATTGCTGATTCCAATGGTTCCAGCAAGCCGCTGAGCCCAACTGCAGCATCTAATAGCCTTTTGCAACCATGAAGCATGTTAGCCTTCTGAAGCCAGACTCTGCCAAGATGTCTTGAGTGGGACAGGCGGGTCACAATTCCTTATGTACCTGCGCTCGTAAAAGTTAGCAACCATGTTCTTACACTCAGGCACAGCGTGAAGTCCCTTCAACTCTCTGATTGCAGCTGCCGCTGAGGTCGTCGCCGTGTGCTATTGCGGGATGGTCTCGCTGCAGGACTGTGAGCACACGAGCTTTCGCACTCCTTGTTTTGGCCAGTGTTGGCCTTTTTGAGATGAAGTGCTGGTGCAGGATGAATGTGAAAGCCCGTCCTTCTGGATCTTCGGTGGCCTGATGACTATTCAGGGACCAGAAGGTGGATCCTCCTCCATGTTGTGCTCGTTGCTAAGACGAATCCGACATGGCATGCTTCCATCAAAGCTTCAAGCTCCAAGCATTATAGAAATCAGCTCCCGTGTTACAACAGGGGCCCGGCAGCCACTATACGTGAATGCTTCTGCAATGCCCCGGGTCAAGTCATATAGTTAATGTCGAGGCAACTGTAATCTGTCTCGACATGTCACCTTTGTAATGGCAGAGCTTCGGCAGGTGGCCGCAACTTCATCTTCCCCACGAACGTAGCCTGCGCCTGAACCAGCTGAAGAGCAGCTCTCGGGAGATCCTGAAAAATCCAAGCACACGCTCATGAAAGGTTGCCACAGAAGTATGATAAGAAAGACTTTAACAGTGCGGCGAGAATGAAGTACCAAAGCCTAGGGTCACTTGGAATGCTGAAAGAGCTGCATTCTTTGTGCGCCATGAACCATGCTTTAGGGAACCATATGTTGCTGCAAATCTGCTAGCGGCTGTGGGACACAAGCAGATTCTTTAACCCAAGCTGCTTGGAATGCAGGCTGTATACTGTATGGTCTTGCTCGGGTGCTTGCTTGCTGCCACGGTTCCACGAGCTCTATTGCCCAGGTCGTCAAGTTCGACTTGAAGGGATGGGGTTTCAGTGACCCCGCCTTCATTCGCTTGTCAGCTTACGATGGGTCGTCGCACAGCTATCTAACTAGGCATCCTTTATGAATTCTGCAGAGGTGAGCGAGACTGCTATGCGTCGTTGTGGGTCTTTCATGCCAGGTCCGAACGACAAGATTCGCATCATCCCTGCGACGTCACAATGTTCGGGCAGAAAACTCAGCTCTCCACTAGGGTGCTCACTTCTTGCAGGGACTGACCGGAGGATGCCGTCCAGTCCAAGCCTGTCCGGGCAAGAGATGAGCAGACTGAAGGGACAAGCGCCATGAACGAGATCTTAACAGCATCTTGGCAATCCCGACCTCTACCCTCTCAAGTTATCGTGCGCATGTGACCTGTGAAGTGTAAGCCGAGCCGGAGCACCACTCTGCCCAGACAACAACAACGACCCCAACTCGTACACGGGCTTCAAAGTTCGCTGTCCAGCCGTGGACGGCAACGGATGCAGGCCTAAGAACTGCAGGAGCATGTTCAAGAACATGTAGAATAAATGGTGGCCCAGAATAAAGGCTCTGTGCATGTGAAGACTGACCCGATTTTGTAGACCGATTAAGTATGAGCATTGGCAGGTTTGACCTAGATGGGCTAATGACCAGCCTTCACTGCAGGCACTTGTCGGCTGCTTCAACGCTTGCCTGAATCATCCCAAACCGTAGCAATGCACAAAAGAGCCAAGAGCTTCGTGACATGCGTCCAAAAATCCCTTCTAGGCCAAGCCCTTTATACCCTACATGTCCTAAGCCCTAACTCTGACCTCTACATCTTCAAGCCTGAACCCCAAATCCTAAGTCCACCCGGCTTGCAGGCAGGCGGGCACCTCCGAGTCGATTGACACCAACGTGTTGACAGCCGCCAATGCCGGAGTCTATGTCGAGCGTGCCGGGCCCTCGCATGCCGCAATTGCAAGCAGGCCATGCCAAAAAAACCTGCAAGTAGCTCATGATCAGTTTGCAGCTGCAGGGGACGGCAGTTCAAGGTCATCTGAGGCCCAATTTGTGGCGCGTGCTGCGTCTGATTGCTTCAGCATGCTGCGGTGTGGGTCGCATGCTTCACGCCCAAGCCCCCCGTAAAGCCCTCACTCTGGGCTGCTCTGGACTTGATTGACTGGGCTGATTTTGCTGAGGGTGCATTGGGCGTCTGTGGCCTTAGTGTCGTGCCAACTCCTTTGGGGTGCATATCGCCGGGTATATCGCCTTGCCGATGACTGCGTGACAGCCTGGTCCACGGCCCTTCTATTCTAGGGTGAATGCTCCTTCACCAGAGGAAGCTGATGAACAGGAATGCGAAGTGCGATAACTATCTTTTGGACCGCGCGGACGTATTGAACAAGCAGTGGAAGGTCGTTCTTGCAGACGTTGGCACGGCTTGCATAGCCGAACCGATCCACGGAGCAGGTGGGGATGAAAACTTGTTGGTCGCCCTAGGTCTACTATGCCAATGACGGAACAGCAGCAGACATCTCCGGGCAGGGCGTAGCTCAAAGGCAGGTATCCATCCAGCACTGCTGAAAACAAGACGAGGGTGATAAAGGTGTTCATCCCAAATGCTTGTGGGGCGGCATGCGTCGAGTCGACCAGCAGACTGGAAAAAACTGCGGAGGATCGCGTGACCACATCTCAGGCCAGGGCTCAGGAGTATATCGCAAAACGACAATGCCCGGCAAGCCGTAGCTTGTGGGCCATGACCGCATGGGCGGGTGCATTCTTCACGAGGTCAAGATGTAAGCAGGGAGAGAGTGTTGGACTGGGGTTTTGAAGATGAATCAGGAGCCGCGAAAGTGAGGATGCCGGCATAGTTTTGGGGTTCCCCTAGTTGTGGGTGAGCGCCAGGCTGTTGTAGGGGGTATCTTGTCGGGATTGTACTATGGGGCTTCAGAAGGAACAGGCAGGCTTCATAGGGATTACGGAGTGGAGTGTCGGAGTTGCTCAAGATCTTGGGTCCCATTTTTGGAGTCCCTGCCTATTGTCCTACTGGGGATCCTTGGCTTTGAGGAGCTAACGTGTGAGTGCGCGAGCAAGGGTGAGAGAATCCCAGAGCTGGAAGAACAGCATGGGGCGACGTGTTATCTCAGGAAAGTGGTCCAATCACTTCATCCAGCTACTTTAGTTTGAGTAGTAGTATCCATTTTCTTTTCCATTATCCCTATATATCCCCAACATATCCCCTATATACATATATCCCCTGTATACCCTACCCCCCAGACCCTAAACCCTAAGACCCTAAGCCCTGTACCCTAAAACCCTAAACCCTAAAACCCTAAAACCTAAACCCAATACAGAGCTTGGCGGCTTGGGATCTACTCTCCGGGACAGCCCAGCTGCGTATCTTCTGAAGTTGTTCTGTGAGCTTCCCGTGTGACCGCTTGCTTTTGGTTATGTTCGAACATACGGATGCCCGGATGCCTTCTTGGTAATTATCCTTTGGATGCGATGGTGATAGAGGTGCCCTCACGAGAAATACCAAATTGACAAGGTCGACATTGGGCAGACATCCAGTATCTTGACTTTCTCTGTTCGCAGCTCAGCAACTTTGCCTTGCAAGCTTGAAAGTTTGTCATGCCTGAACATGGCGGCCCTATTGGGGGAGTTTCTCAGCATCGTGGGACCTTTATGACATCGCCACTAACACGGAAGGGGCTTTGATTATTCCAATCATTCATGAAGTTGCTGTCATTTCAAGGCAAAGTGCGCGGTGCAAGGGGCCTATTAGAAGCTGGGACTTGCCAGGATGTTATCAACACGCACCTGACCAACGATCCAGAGTTTGGCCAGGATATCATCACGACCCTTGGCAATCAACGTTATACAGCTCTGGAACAGACTCTGGGTGATTCGTTCTGAAGCCAGGAGCTCGTAAATCAACTTATGCTTTGCGGTTGAAGTCTTCGAACACTTTGAACACTTTATTTGCAGCGTTGGATATGCCGAATCCGGGCTGAGTTTGTTGTACTGACAGGATTCAGTGAGCAGAGTCTGCGGAGTCCCGTTTGAGACTTGAATCGAAATGCCTGCAACAGTGACCCGATATACTTGACCAGTATTGTAGACTGTAAAACTCGACTCATACTACTGAAGCGTGTTGCCACAGTACCCAAGGATTGACCTGGATCGTATCATGGTCAATGGCAAGGCACCTGCACGCCCATTCTGCCAAGATTCTGACAAGGCATTGCAGAAATGCCTCTCTATTGCCCTCGGCAAAACTCGCACAAGCTCATTGTGGTGTAATCACAACCATGGCCGCCGCCCCACCGCAGTCAGCCCCGCAGCCACCGTTGCAACGAGCCCAACCCATCGCAGCTGCATGCTGCTACTGTTACTGCTACCGCTACATTTGTTGCTGCAACTATTGCTGTGGCGGCTGCTTTTTATTGTTCCTACTACTGGTACAGTAGTGCTCCTATACTCCTATGCAACGCCCACGCCTATGCCACGCTAGCGCCTGCGCTTGCGCCTGCGCCTACTCTTCCTGCTGCTTCTTCCGCTACCACCCCCACCCCCACCCCCACTCCCACCGCTACTCCTACTACATTCCTTCTACAACTTCTGGCACTGCCTATTTTAACTCCAAAGATCATTTTAGCATCTTTGGCCTAGCCCGCATTGTCCAGACGATGACCAACGTCCTGCTGACGCCCACGGAGCGCCACGAGGCGAACAAGCTCGCTGGCCTGCCCAAGACCCAGCTCACCTCTGCAAATGAGCCATAGTCTAAACTCCTTTCCAGGGGTTATTCAGGGGAATATATATATATATAGATATATATATAGAGGACTACTATAGATGGGGGTTATTAAGGGGGATACTAAGAGTTTAGAGTATGGCTGAGCGGGGGGGTTCTCAAGAATCACGGGTGCCTTCAAATAGGGATCTTGTGGGGCTTAGGGGTTTTAATAATTGAAGGGCCTCATTCAGGAGTGCCTACATTGAGGATTGGAGTCTTTTGGGGTGTACAGGGCCCGTAGAGATCAGGATCTTGTCCATGGGATGTAGTGTTTCTGTAGGCATGATACAGGGATGGTGTTTACAGGTGCTCGATTGTGTTTTGGGCTTGTATATTTTTTTTCGAGAAGAAGGTTTTGAGACGACCCAAATCGTAACGGGACATCCGGAAGATATAAGAATGGTAGCACCATGTAGCACTGTGATCATGTCCGTACTTTAGCCCCATCTACCCCCCCTACTGTTGAACATTCTGAGTTACAATTACTATTGTTATGACTACGACGACGACGACTACTTCTACTACTCCTACTACTACTAATACTACTGCTACTACTCCTACTTCTACTACTTCTACTACTACTACTGCTGCTGCTGCTACTACTACTACTACTACTGATTACCACCATTACCACCGTGACAGCGATTTTTTACCACTATTGTGAGCCCTTTGCCCCAAGGCACGAGTTCCAGGATACCTTCAGCCCGGTGGGGTGCTGAGAGTGACATGATTTGCAACAGTTGGAGGGGTTTGTTGGGTACCGGGCTATAACAGGGTTAAGGAGCTTTGTTGCGATTCAGTGGTTCTCAGCTCAAGGTTTTGGAATCTAGGCTTAGGGGTGTGCGGGTAAGGTCGAAAACCGCAGGATCTGCGGAACAAAAAGCGTATGAGCGGCGGTCATCTTTTCTGGAGCTAGGGGACCATCACAGTAAGGATCCAGAACATGCACACAGGGAGCTTGCGTGCCCCCGTGGCAATACTTTCGTAACCACAATTGTAGGAATAGCTTGTTTGGGCCATTGTTTTGCTTGATATGTCCACTGATGAAAGGAGGCGCTACCACGAAGATAAGAAGCCGCAATCGGCAAGATGCACGCACTGGCACAGATTGTAGTATGCAAGAGGAGCGGCCGTGAAAAGTACACCCCCAAGCGTCGGCAATTGCTAGTTTACGTGCCTTTAAGGGACTGTCTGTATTCGGCCTACCATGTTTTGAACAATGCCCACTGTCCTCGCGTGATATGGCACACTTCGTGAGCTCGCAGAGTGATTGCAGCTGCGAGTGACCTCAAAAGCTCGACCTAGCTTTGGTTCGACAAGGTTACCGAAACAAACGATAGTAATTTCCATTTTCTTTTCCGTTATTTTGAATTCCCTTACATAACTCTGTAATTTCAGAGCAAGCGGCAGCTTTTTAAGCTTGTTTGGCGTGACTGCTTCTGCCTTGCAGGGGCCTATCCAGACTTACCAAGTGGGCCATCGAGCTGCAGCCTGAGACTCCATGAGGGACCAAAGCTTGTACCAAGCTGGGCTGAGTGGGGCTACTGGTGGGTAGTTTCCAAAATTAGGGTCATCTATAACCAAAAGGGGCCCATAATTTTGGGAACGACCCCGTTACAGTCGGTGAGCTCTCTGTCTTTGTGCTTGCTCAATCTGTTTTAACGTTTTGATGTATACAACACTTGCGCTGTATTTGGTGTTGCTATCATCAGCCACAAGCGGTTCAAACATGTGTGTCCATGTAGAGGCATGTATTTCAGAGTGGGGCTTGGCATCTACGCATACTTACACTTTTGGGAATCCCTACTCGTGTGTGCTATGCGTAATTCCACCCAAACAGTGCCAGAGCTCACTGCAGCGTTGCTTGCGTCTATGCTTGCAGATGGACATGTTGGTGCTTGTGGCTGTAGCATCAAAATGTTCAGAACGGCTGGGGTCCATGGCATGTAACCCTGATGAATGCATTTTTCGTGCATGAGTGCCAGGTCCTTGCCTCACCACCGGCATTTGCAAGAGACTCTTATTGTTCTTTTGACATGACCTGCGTTGCAGTGCCCTTAACGGTTTTTGCATGAGACTGGATCTGTTTGACATTTACAGAGAGTAGCCATAAGTTGGCGTCTTCTCTGTCCTGCACTCTTGCCCAAGGCGATGGAGTAGTAGCCATGGTAATAATCGTCAAATTTCGAGAAGGGAAGGGCCCATGTTCATGGTTCATTGCAGGTTCTTGCGCAGACAGATAGCCGCCAGTCGGGCACTTGGAGTGGACTGTCGAAGTGCAGCCTTTACTGACATTATCATACCAGTGGTTCTCAACATCATGGTGATCATCGTTTTCTCATTATTTGTGTCAGTGTTGCTGTTGTTCATAGCATTCTGTTCACCGTCTTCGTTCATGCTCCCTGAAGATTGCCCAGTTGATGCAAGAATCACTGCTCTGCATGCTCAGCTCAGATGCTTTCGATTGAGTTTCATGCCATCGCCATGCCAAGCTTCAAAGGATGATGATCCCCCAGGGCTGGACAAGCACAGACCCTTGGCTGCAGACACTACATAGGGATTATAGGGTTACGTGGGGTTATATAGGGATAATGGAAAATGACATGGAAACTACTATAATGGGGTGGGTAACAACTGGACAAGGAAAAGAAGACAGTATGGGGATTGTGTGCCTTCATCTAAGTGGCCATCATCCTGTAAATCAAGCCTAAACCCTAAACCCTAAAACCTAAACCCAGGCCTGCGACGTTCAGTACTAGGAATCTGTGTTAGCCTCTCGTATGTCACATAACACAAATACCGATAGACTTGCCGCAATTTTGGGAGATCCCACTTGAGGATCCCTTACTTCCGGACGCTTAAATAAGCAATAGGGGAATATCTTATTGGGTTTATGTGTTTATATATATATATGGGTGGTGGTCAAAATTATGGCCCCTTTTTTGGGTTATAATAGGGACCCAAAAAGGGACCATAATTTTGACAACCACCCATATATATGTAGATATTGGGGTTATTTCAGGCGGCTTTCCCCTTCAGCATCTCGCCGTTCAGCTTCGTCGATTCTCAAGGTCATTGGATCAGGCCGTGGCTTCTTGTGTTATTTGCTTTTTGCCCAGTTAGGGGGACCAATATATATGTATATATATATAAATATCCTAAGATACTATGATCCTTATTGTTGGGGACCGCCAAAAAGTACCCTTAATCTTGGGGAAACCCTAAGCCCTGAACCCTAAAACAACTTATTCATCACCTTTTGAAGGCAAACCCTGTTATTGGGAACCCCCCCGCAAGTAGCCTGGTTTTGCAATTTCTGTTGTGGATGATGTTCTTACCATGAGCAATCTTGGCCTGATGGCTATTCATCAGGAATTGTAATAGGGTTTAGGGTTCAGGGTTCAGGGTTGAGGGTTCAGGAATTTAGGGCTAAGGGTTTAAGGTTTAGGGGTTTAGAGTTTAGGGATTTAGGAATTTAGGGTTTAGGGATTTAGAGTTTAGGTTTTAGGACGTAGGGTTTAGGATTAGGGATTAGGGTTTAGGGGTTTAGCGATCAGGGATTTTCGGTTTAGGCTTGAGGCAGTCGTGGCCGACGCTGACACCAGCACCACCAGCAGTAGCTACAAGCTACAACCGCAACGCAGCAGCATCAGCTGCACCAACACCAACACCAACAACACCAACACATAATATCATCATTATCATTGTTATTCCCTGTACTAGCTAGCACTAGTCCTCCTACAAGAACGAGTAGGGGTGCTAGTGCAGCATCAGGGCAAAGCTGATTTGTTTGCTGAGTGTTAAATGCATGGCTTAGAAGTTGTGATAGGCGCAACAAGCTGGACTCCAACGAGGAGATCAAGGGCACCGAGGCAGGAGAATTCAGGGATATTAAGGGTGATGGGCGGGGCCGCTACCGTCCTGCCTGCATTAGAATGCGCGGAGAACACGTCTTCATGATATGCACCATCCAAATAAGATGTTGGTCTTGCTGTTTTGAGAGTTTGATGACAGATTGGGTTCCGTAAGCTGCAAGCTCAACATGCTTAGCAGTGCCTGCTTTCGGGATATGGGAGGACATTGACCATGAAGCTTCTGGCCGAAGAACTTTCAGAAGAGATCTGAACTTCTCATGATCACTCCTGCTGCTACACGCGCCAGTCTGCTTCAAACCTGAAGCTGTGCTGGGGCATCTGGAGCAATGGCGCGCCAAAGCCTCCCGGCGTCATACCGTAGAGGTTGGTGACAAAATTGAGAGGCTGCCTTCTACATCGTTAGAACCCCTGTCATTTGGGAGTATGGATGCACGACAGTGTGCAGTTTGGTTGATTGCTGATTTTGTCCAATTCCGGCTAACACACGCTCTGAGCCAGACACTTGCGGAGATGCCTTGCAGCCCTTCACTTATCATGCATTTTTTGCAAGTAGGTGTCGAGTGCATACGGCATGCGCAGGTATGGCTTAAGTAGGTAGAGCTAAGCCATCTCGGCACGCCCAAGCCTCCTCCAGAAATCCTGCCTCCAGCTCCTTTCGCAAGCCATATTCCTGGTGCAAAGCACCAACAGGCAGCATCAGTTCAGACAGCTGGCCCTGCCCATCATCCGTCAAGAGCACGTCGAAAACAGCACAATAGAGAAACGGGTGCCAGTAAGAGCAGGTGGAACGACCCCGAGCATACCTCTGGCAACTTGACGATTCGTTTTGGGTGCAGATATCAGCAACATGGCTCCGGGAAGTGATGCCTTTCATCGAGTCATGTGCCGCCGTGGACCAAGACGGTCCCAGACGCTTTCCAACTTACCCAGCATGATTACCAGCCTCGAAAGCCGTTTCATGGCCTCAAAGAGGAGGCAAGGCCTTCTCATTAATGGCTCAAGACACAACCTTGAATCGACAAGGCACAGGATCTGTGCCAATAACTGCCTCGAGGTTTGTCCTTCCAAACAGTGAGGAGGACCCTTGTTGTAGGGTGCCCTATTATTGTTACTATGTTGTTATTATTCGTAATATTGCTGTTGCTATTACTGTTGTTACTATTAGTATTCTTGCTGTTAATAGTCAAACAGCTTTGCAACATGACATGTCTACCGCTCAGGTTCTACCACGAAGCAGGCACGGTGAACTTTGAGGATCCACCCCCCATGGCCTCAGCCACTGTGAGCCGAGGCCCCAGAACGTGCTGAAGTAGAGATTGAGTTCAGGCTTCTAGGGTTTAGGGTTTAGGGTCAGGCTTCTAGGTTTTTGGGCTTAGTGTTCAGTTTCTGGGTTACAAACAGCTGTCGGCCCCAGATACTTTGCGTAATCAAGCGGGAACAGCACGGTGAAGGCTGGGAGTACTAATGGTAATAAGGATAGTACTACGAATTAGGAATGAACATAGAGATGATAAAAGTAGTAATTAATAGTAATAATGGTCGTAAGAATAATAATCATAGTAGGAGTCGTAGGAGTAATAATCGTAGTAATGATAATCGTAATAATACTAGTAGTCATAATATTTTTTGTAATGATACTGGCAATAATGATAGTAAGAATAGTATTGTAATATGACCCTAGACCCGAAACCCTAAACTCTAAAACCTAAACCCTAAAACGTATTATTGACTTTGGAGATCTAAGGTCTGTCCACCAAGATGCAAGAAGCCGTTGCTCCCGTGATCATTGCATTCAAGACGACGGCCGGGTCTTTGGCTACAGGGGATTTGGTGAACATTAATATCACTCTTGTTATTTCTCATTACCATTATCATTACTATTACGATTATTAGTACTACTATCATTATCATTCTTCTTATTATCGCTTTTGTTACTATTACTCTTGTTATTATGTTTATGACTATTAGTACTATCATTCTCATTCTCATTCTTCTTGTTATCACTTTTGTTACTATTATTCTTGCTATTATGATTATGATTATTATTACCGTTATTACTCTTACCATGGGCTGGAGTAGCAAAACCCAGTATGCCATGAAATCAGGCTGCTGAAAGCCCCGATTAGGAGAGGAATGTTTTCCCAGTTCTCCCTACATTGGTTCATGGGTTCCCGTATGGTACAGTTTAGGGTTTACGGTTTACTGTAGGGTTTGGGGTTTAGGGTGTAGGGTTATGGAGCCCCCCGCCCCCCCTATACTACCCCCCTAGGTACCCTCCCCCCCATAGTTAAGGCTACTTAGGAGTAATTAGGCCTAATTAAGCTAATTAAGGGGGAACTTGCGGGGGGTGGGTAGTATAGAATGGGGTAGTAGGGGAACCCATGATGGGTGCAAGGCGGTCCTTGTATTCGCTCTCCCAGTATAATTGCGCCTCAAGAGAAACGATGCACGTTCTCGCATCATTTGGGGCCGATTGCTCAGGCAAGCCGATCGGAATATGCGACGCCGACAGGGCATCGTACTCAGAGGTTTGATCATGTTGTGGCCAACTACAGCCACTTTATGTGCGGCTTTCAATATTACATTCACTAGAGCCTGGATTCGTAGCTGACTTCCTTGATGCCTTGATGGTCGTGCAAAGCTGCCCTGCCACTACCTGACACATGAAATCTGAGGCAAACGATGCTGATGCTGCGATTCATGGACGTGAGCACCAAGCCCCTTGCTCAGCCTTGATTCCGCAAAATTAGGGGTACTAGATTACCCCCAATAACGGAGAATCAAATGGAAAAGAAATTGGAAAATTCAATGGAAAAGTAAATGGAAACTGGGATTGTATGATAGTTTCTCTAAATAGGGGGGGGCCTCAATATAGATCCTGGTGTACTGAAATGGAAACCGGGATGATAGAGAATACTAAGCCACACAGCCCATTTGCATTAGAAGCGACCACAATTTCATGGGGACCGCCTGCTTGGGGCTTGGAGTGCTGGGGTCCCAGAAGGTATAAATAAAGGGACTCCAATATAGACCCCAAAATATTCTAATCATTATTATGGGGAAGCCCAAAATAGGGAAATACAACCCCTATATAACCCCTATAACGCCCTTTAAAGGTACCCCTACTTATGGGAAACCCCGAAAACCCGGCACACCCTTGAAAGGTTGGAGCCCTTCTTCTACTCCACGGAACAGGGCATCCGGGGTGTGTACGCCATGCCGCCCTACCAGGCTCACGTGGGCTAAGGGGGTTACATAGGAGATTATGTAGGGGGAATTATAGGGGTTTTTAAAGGAGGATGTTAGGAGTTTTCACTATAGCTCCTATGGGGCTTTGCCTGCAACATGTGGAAGTTTGCTGGAAACCTCTACTATAGCCTCTCCTGCGAAACGCTCCTGCTGTAAGGGACTTTGTTTCGTGAAATTACCCCTTGCAAGGATCCCCGTGATGCCTCTGCAATCCGACCTATGCCCAGGCCCCAAAAGCTCCCCAGTACTCTGAGAAGCTTCCATCAAATTTGTTCAGAAGCTAGTCCAACTGGCTTTAGCCTGTGAGAAACGCGAGTTCACCAGCGGGTTGCCATTCTGATTATTAATGCTAAGCTTGCATTTGTTACGCCCGGGCACCTCCCAATTCCCATGGTGGCAGCAGTCGAACCCAATCTTGTTGCTCCAAACCACCCAGATCCAAGGAAATGCTTAAGACGCATCTGTAGATTTTTGCAAATGTCTTCGTCCTGGCATGAGCTGGCAAGGAAGTGACGAAGCCACAGCAGAAACAGCATGCCAAGGGCCCGGCATAGGTGATGGCTTGCTCTGCAATAGCTTCATGTGGAGTTGCTTCACTAAGGACCCAAATGCTCACAAGAGACCATTATCTAGAGTTCCTAACACAGTAGTTTGAATTTTCTTCTCCACTATCCTTAAACAACCCCTAAACCCTAAACCCCAACACACTACAGCTCAATACTCCCCGACATAATCTCCTAAATAAACCACTCTAAGGAGTTTAGACTATAGCTTATTTAGTTTTAGGGTTTAGGGTTCAGAGTCTCCACCCACGAATCTTAGAGAACTAAGACAACACAAAAACTTTGTTCCCACATCCAAGCAGACAATTAATGCTTCCTTTCTCTGCCACATGGTACGCACATTGGCTCATACATCTCGCTACACAGAATTTATACTAAGATCCTACAACGCAATCAGTTGTTTAATGTATAGATAGAAGTACTTCGCCTTCCGCAAGTTTTTCACTACTCCTCACATTAAAAGAAATACAGCCTTTCACACCATTACTTAGAGGATTCTATGCACAGACTTTTGGTCTGCACGCGAGAGAAAAGTCTCCACCCACGCTACCGCTTAGGTGTGCGGTAAGATCTTCACGGAGTTCTGGTCCAGTCACTCCGAGGCTGCCAATGTTTAGGGTTGAGGGCTTATGGTTGAGGGTTTAGGGTTTATAGTCCCCCTTAAGTAGATAGAATATGGGGAGTATGGGGATTTTATTGGAATATACCCAAAACCATATTCTATATACTTCAGGGTCTGATTTGATCCAAGTACGGTTCCTTCTCAAACTGGAGTCAATCCGTGAGCATCGCATCCGGATGAGTTGAAATGCATGTCAGGCTTGGCCATGCCGGATTTGGGACAGTGTCGAACTTCCGTCAACCCACCCTAAACCCTAAACCAACCCTAAACCCTAAACCCCTAAACACGAAATCCCTAAACCCTAAATCCCTAAACCCTAAACCCCTAAAGCCTAGACCAACCCCAAACCTTAAACCCCTAAACCCTATACCCTAAACTGCGCAGGGATTCCCCATGCCCGTCGGGTGCTTCTACAGCCAGAAGCTCTCAGACCTCCCGACGACGGGTGGCCGGGCCCTCTATGGGATAGTAGGGTTCAGTGTTTAGGGAGTATTTCATACAGGGATTATGATATAAGGAATATTATGTAGGGATTGCTATACAGGGGCAATTATGTAGGGAGTATAACACGGGGAGCATATAGGGAGTTTAAAGGGACTCTAGGGACTAGTCAGGGATTATGCGTTTGGCCGGGGTAGCCCAAGGAACACCCTCACTTGCGGAGTATTGCTTAAGATTCATTTGAGGGTTTCCCAAAATTAGGGTTATAAGAATGATCGAATTTGAGGGCATGTATTGATTATAGGGGTTCCCCTATTTCGGGATTTCGGGAAAGTAGCAGTTCAATTTACGAGTTCCAGAACTGCCTGTTGTTTGTTGTTGTGGGTACTCATACTTTCTGTCCCCCTACGATACTAAACCCTAAACCCTAAACCTAAACCCTATACTATAGTAGTTTCCTTCCTCTTCCATTATCCCTATATAACCCCTATATAACCCTTATATAACTCCTATAACCCCATCCTTCCGTGAATCCTTTCCTTCCTGCTTTCATCTATGTGGCTCTGCTCCGAAGCGGCACCCTTACCTCCTTTTACTGGGTTGCTGTTAAGGAACTTAAATTAAGTTACCATAATGGGTATACATAGCAAATAATAGAGTTTCCCCAATATAGTAACTTAATTTAAGTTCCTTAACAGCAACCCAGATTACCCTGAGCCCTGGGCCCTAAACCCCTACATCTTCAACCCCTGCCCACTGCCCTGCAAAAACCAGGCTCGGTGTTCTTCCGAGAGATCTACATCACCTTCGGGGCAGCGCACGCGGTTTTGGGGTAGGGACTCCATAGATTTGATAGAGTGCTGATGCTGTTATGCAGGGACTACACATAGTGGAGGTTAAGCTAAGTGGACTGTCAGGTTCTTAAGCTCCTGGACCTCCTGAAGGGGGATCCCGGGATGCCAGAGGTCGATACCCATCTGAAGACGTAGGGTTTGTTCCAAATTAATTTCCCCTCATGGCATCAACTTCAGCTGTGTGGATCGCGAGACCTGTGCATACCCACGCTTGAGCTGAAATGTGAGGTCCCCATGTCTCAGGTTAAAAGTCTTTGGAGCGTGATTTTAGGTAACGTCAAGATGCGCTTCATGACCTGCTATGTTGTGGGTTGCCGGCAGAATTGAATTGCAGGCGCCTGTCTCCCTCCACAACAATTTAGCTTTCAAAAACAAATTGTCTCAGTATGTCAGCTAGGATGGTGCCAACCCTTCAGCTAGGAATCCGTGCAAACCGACTATTGCTAGCATTTCTGCTACGCTTATGATTATTGCTGCTACGACTACTACTACTACTACTACTGCTACTACTACTACTACTACTGCTGCTGCTGCTGCTGCTGCTGCTACTTCTGCTGCTGCTGCTGCTACTACTACTACTACTACTACTACATCTATCTATCTTTATTCCCATTACTGTTGTTATTGCTACTATTACTATTATTATTGCTATTATTACTGTTCATATTTACATTACTACTATTACCCCCTGCGCACAGCCTGGCTCCGGTGGCCAGGAGATGAACGGTTTGCGGGAGAATGTGGAATACCACATCGTGCTGAATGCTGCCACTCAGCTGCGAAGCTAATCGGTTGAGGGGTTTAGGGTCTAGGGAATAGCAGTGTTAATGATGGTAAAGGGAACTTAGTAGTAATGGAAGAGACAGTGGACACTACTAATTACTCAGGGTCGAGGGTTTAGGTTGGGTCATTCCCCCTTACAGTAACTGTCCTCAAAGGGTCCTAATTAAGGAGTTAATGTAATTCCTACCCACTGTGGCAACTGTTACTGCAAGGGGGAAGTACCCGAGGTCTAGGGTTTAGGGAAGGTCAGACTCTCAGGCTCTTGGCTGAGGTTTTTTGGGGAGGTTGGAGCATTTCTCAATCCCTAGGTCCATATGAGCTATAGTCTAGATACGAGGAGTTTAGACAACGGCTCATACGGATCTTCCGCCAAAAAGCCCGCAGAGTGTGAAGAACCCATCCCACTGCGTCGGATCCTGTCCAGCTGTTTGTCATTATCAAGTTGATATGGGGCCTGTGGTGCAAGTACAGTGTTGATCCCACTTTTGCATTGAGCAGTCCTCCTGCTTTTAACTCTGCCTGCAGCCTTCCGAGCGACATATGCCTAGCCACATCATATGTAAGGCCCGCCTGACTTGAGAATTTTGCAGAAAGCATCCCCCAACTCTGCACATGAAATTGGTCATCTTCGGGCTATTCGCTAGGTATGGATTTGTGAGGCTTCAGAAACAGATGTACCATTGCGTTTTCCTTCGATTTTTGTTCGCGACGGACACTTTGGAACACCTGTGTAAGATGCCGTTTTGAAACAGGAGAATGCCGGCTACATTAGAACTTGGGATTTTTCGCAGAGTTTCGTGATGCGCTGCAAGGTACAGTACGTGACAAAGGTATGCTGAAAACTGCTTTTCGTAGTGCCACCCCGCTGGGTCAGGAAATCCAGAACTTCAACGCGGGCGAATTGCTCGTGGACATCTATGCCATGTGTGCAGGCTTCACAGGATGCTCAAGGCCCTTTCTGTGCCGCTGCGATTAGCGTTTAGGGCTTCAGGGTTTCGGGTTTACTTGCTTCATCTTTAGCCCCTTGATGCCTACGCTTAGGCAAGGTCCTTCCTCGGCGGGTGCTGTCGAATGCTCTCATACGGCGCCAGCAGCATCGTTACTAATACTTGCATCATTGGGTGATCAACTTAGTAGAAATCCAATTCTTAGCGCTGACAGAAGGCCTCCCTCTTACAGAGCGTCAGAAGTTGGGGATGAGTTCAAGAGAAAAGAAATCATCCATCAGCCTTTCGCTGGGGATGGCTGCTGATGGGACAGGGCTTTTTGTGTTGTCCCAAATCGACATGCTGGCTTGAAACTGCTGTCTAGGAGTAATTTCTTTGTCAAAACATCCAAATCACTGCATTTGTGTCTCACAGAGCTGTCAATGTGTCCCATGTCTTTAGGAGTGCAGTTGGCTGGTTCGCCGCAGCATCATTGCCCAAGGAGGAGTGCACTGCCACACTACTGACTTAAAAGGCTTCCTGCCGCATTTGCAGCAATGACGCAGGCCCTTCCGGTTGAGACTGCCCCGCTCTCACCGT